GGTGTGCAGAATGCACTAAAGTACGTGTGTTTATGAATACAAATAGATATATATTTAGTAGGCTTTCAGAAAGGCCAGGCTGACACAGGCACCTCTCCAAGTTGTGTAAGGAAGTTTGATGTTGGAGTGTGCACCAAATGTAGATGGCTTGTCATGGGGCAAGTCACAGTTCTCTATCTTGTCATCTCCCTCACAGTCATCTGCTTCCTACTCTGAAACCCCAGGGTGGAAATAGGTGTTCAGAGGGAGCTTAGGTTACCGGAACAGCTTCTACAGCTTTAACCTCATTCTCTGAAAATATTTCTGCTCTAAGCTAACCTTCTCAGCTCCCCCACTGAAACAGGGATGTCTGGCTCAGGGCACCAGGGACTAAGTGTGGAAATTTCAGCCTGAGGAATTTGCTGGGTGGAAAAAAATTTGAAGCTTGTGTTACTGCAGTCCAGTTCACATTGTCTTGCAAAGGTTCTGTGTACTTTGCTCGTGCCATGGTTTCCCTCTTACAGGGTAAAATCCTGCTGATATAGCAAAAAGAGCTGTATAATAATAGATAGGGAAACCTAAACTGTTGAGGACAGAATAAATATATTAGACCAATAAGGAGGTTCTGGAAGGAAATCCTGGTGCATTTTTCTCTCTTAGTTGTATTTCAGATACATTTTTCCTTATTAAGTATCTTTGCTATTTATTATGTCTTCTAGAAATGCTTTAGCTTGAGCTTGACTGGTGAGTGGCTTCTGATGGTTTTCTATTCCAAAGGGTGTTGGGTAACCAGAACAGTACTTGAAAATATTTTGATTTTGCTCTCTTATTGGCAAAGCCATGAAAAGCAGCAGGAACTTTAGCAATGCAGTTTCTGTTCGCAGGGAAGCTTCTCCTGACCTTAGCTTTGGGGTACAGAGTGTACTTCTTGAAAAGTACCTCCTGGTGTCCAAACATGGCTCATCATGGACAATGTGGAATACTTAAAGGAGAACTTGCTCGGTGTCATATGGTCAGGTGGAGCCTTGGGTGTTCTCTCCTGTGTGCTTAGTGTCTCTTCTCAAATGTCACACGCCAAAGTAAAGTTTGTAGAGCAGGTTCTATGAATTGTATGAAGGGCTGGAGCAAATAAGATCCATGTTCCTGAGTGGCCCATGAAGTACCAGCTTGCTTATCAAAACTGCCATGTTTAGTTGAAGTATTACTAGTAGGCTGTAGATTTATTTTCACTTGGGAGGGAGAGTTCAGGGAAAGGAGAAATAGGAGTTTCTTTAAAGCATAAATTGAGACTTCAGGCACCTTGCAGGGATTATACTGGCTTAATGAATTCTTATTTGTGTTGTTGATACAAATTACAGCTTTACAAAGCAAAGTAAGAGCACACGAAAATTCCTAGTAAAAATTAACTTGTGTAAAGCTGTTACCTTAGGTAGGAAATAGAGAATTGGTTGATAATGCTAATGGATAAGTGCGAAAAATGAGGAAATATGAAGTTAGTATCCATGAATAACCGAGGTTTAGTTTGTACCTTATCTAATACAGTGTTTATATAGTGATGATATTGGATGTTTTGGTAGTGAAGACTCAGAAAAACGTGGCATGTGAATGACACTTGGAGTATGTGGAAAGGCAGTTTCTGAAGAACTTTTGTATAAATCTTACTACTTACAAAAACAAGCACATGCTCCAGAGTTGTAACGTCCTGTGCAGTTGCTTCTGAGTAATGCACTTGGTTGTTTGTTGTGCTTTCTTCTAACAGCTGAAACCTCGGGTGTGAAACTCAAGAGTCATCACACAGTCATCACAGAAATAACTTCTTAGAAGTCACGTGATTAATACACTACTAACTGCACAGATCTGCTTTGCTGACTGTACAGTATCCAGGCATGTGGTTATTACTTTGGTCATCACAGTCATTTTGTTCCATGCTGTGTGTTGTACAGCTGTGTCATATCGTGGGTGCTGAGTACGTTATCGAACAAGAATGTTTTTAAAGAGGGAGCTGTAAGATGAAATACGAAATATTAATCTTCATGTGTTCAGACTGCAAGAGTACTCTCCATTCAAATCATCAAAGCTGTTTTCATTGTTGCCATGGTTGATTTGGTTCTTCAGTGATATTAAGTCATTCCAGTGACAGTGTAATTTAATACAATTTTTTTAACTAAGGAAATTAATACAGTGTGTACAAAATAGATTTAATATATTGAAGAGATGTTGCACATCATGCAATAATCTTGGGTTCCAGGCTCCATCATTACTCTATATCTAACCTTTAAAGGTTTTTTTATTGTATTAGTCTAATAAAAATTGCTAGACAAAATGTGAGCAAATTATGGTGATTACCGGAGAGAACAGAGTTGATCTAACCTACTTTTAATTGTGTATGATTTAAATACTGCTGTCATTAAGTTACGCAGTTGCATGTTCTTATTGCTGCCATATGCTCTTCTAAGTGAGAGGCTCAGGGGACTCACCATTTCATAATTCATTCTGCATAGCTTGTGTGGTTAACTGTATTTACCTGCCTTTCACTTGCATTAGAAGTCGAATGTACTAAAATGTTCTGCAGCAGTTTTGTTCTGTATTAACACTGACTTTCATTTTTTTTGGTATGTTTAAATCAGAAAATGTATTTATTGTTGAATGTTTAAAAATGTTGAATAAGGAGGCTTGTTATAGATTCATGTGGTAGTGGAGCACGAGGAACTGCTGTTCTGTTGGTGAGCAAACAAAACTTTTTCAGTTGTGGGCAAGGTCAGTGTCAGCGAAGGACTCAAGTGTAGGGCAGTATTTTTGTCTTTATATGGATTTGTCACATACTGCTTTGTAATCTGAATTTAATTCAGGTCATATTGTCCAGCTTTTTTTTGCTCTGTGAAGTTATACTTCCTTGGCTAATTTAAGGACTGCATTTTGAGGAATGCCTGGTTTTGGGCAGTACAGATGGGTTTATTCCTGTGAAAATGTGGCCATTCATTGAGGTTAATTATCCATAAGGTCCTGACTTGTGAGGGTACTAGAATAGCTATTAACGATGAATAATTTAGTACAGCATCAGATTGCTTGCCACTTAAGAAGGCCTCTGCCTGTGAAGCCTTATATCTTGTTGAAATCCATTCAATAGTATGAAGGTTACTGCTTGCACTGATATTTTATTGTATTCTTTCATTCTATTTTAAAATTTGTCACTGAATATTTTATGGTGATAAGAGATAAAAATACCTGTGCAAGGGTAAGTATAGTTTGTTTCTGAAAAGCTGAAGTATTGAGCTTATCTCCAGTCCTAAATTGTCTTTTAAATTTGTTTTAAATCTTCAACTAGGATAATTCAATTAGCGTTTTCTCCACTGAGTTTTATGCAGTTGAGACAATTCACGTCCTAGACAATCCTTTTAGGTGGTACTTCATTGTGGGGAAAGGAGAAAGGCTTAATGCTAGCAAGAGTAAAACATTTCAGTGCTTTCTACAAATAGTTGCTCATACATCTGGCTAGAGCAGACTGTCTCTCATATTACAGAGGCATTTTCAGGAGAAAAACTTCAAATACAGCACTTTGAAGCAGTTCCCAGTGCAGATAAATTTACTGTATGCCTTTGGGAGACTTGAGCATTGTAACATAGCATTGAATGCGTTTTTTAAGAGTGCTAAAACAATAGTGTTTGTCATTACCATATACTAGATTTTTCACAAACCTACCCCAAAACATTAGGGAAGAGCTTCATGAAGAAATTGCTTTGGAAATGGCAAGGGAAGAACGTAAGAATATGAACATGCAATAAAAGTAGTACAGAGAAAAGGGTTTTTTGGGGGAGAGACTGATGCTTTGTGATATTTAAGGACAATCTGTCAGATGTCTGGAAAGGTTTTTTCTCTGTCTACTTCTCACTGTTCCCCTTCTCTGTGTTGACTAGTAAGTTTTCCTTACTATGGACCTCTTCACTGGGGTGCTCTATTACAGCTGTACATCTCTTAACACATCCTTAGAATTGTTTTGTAGGACACTTTCAAACTCCTTTAGAAAGGAGAGCTTGTTTAGTATTTTTCCACGAGACTTGCTGTAGTATCTGTGATGCTGTTAGAAGCTGCCACCGTGAGATACAATACAGTCATCCCTTGCTGCCTGCTTCAGCAATTCAAGATAAAATAGGCCTTTTATCTTTTTGTGCTCCTTCACAGGTTACTAAGTAATTTAAGTGTACATTAAGGGTTGGTAGTTAAATGCTAAGATTTTGCTCAATGCATTTAATTTATCCTTAAAGGCAAGGATCTAGATCAGTCCCTTTATACAGACACTCTTTGAGCCGTACATTATGGGGATGTTTTAATAAACATTCCTGTTTGAGAGTTTTAATAAAATCTCAAACCTCTAATAGTTCTGTAGTTTACTGCTGACTCGGCTGGTACTTTGATGGAAATGCAGTTATTTTTGCAGATGGAAGGAACACATTAAGCTGAGCCCTGGTGTAAAATTTTTAAGGCTGTTTATTTTCAGATTGGGAGCTTAACATTGAATTGCAAATTAGTGGGACTTTCCTTATGCTGGAGCTTTTGGATCTGTGTGTCATCTCTGTGCAAATACTTCCTATGCTGCAATAAAGTGTAGTTTACTAGGCAGCCATGTCAAGTTGAAGTGTCAATTTTCCTGATTCGAGTTCCAAGTTTCCTGATATTCATGAGGAAATTCTCCTGTGAATTTGTGCACTATGGCTGCAATAGTTATGGCAAGAAGGCAAGAAGTGCCTGAAATACCTTTTTTTCTTTAAATGTGACATTTTATGGGTGCTGTGTACAAGGACAAGCTATCCTCCAAACTTGGAGGTGTGGGAGGAACAGACTATGAACTTACATTCTGCCTTTTATTTTTGTGTTTGAAATAAACTTTCTCCTGCTATTGCTGAAATGTGTTAGTTGAAGTATTGCAGTTAAAAAAATACTCCATGTCTGATGGAGTGTCATAGTTTTGAGACAATGTGTAACCAGAGCTTTATTAAAGCTTTGATATTTATTGTTTCCTATTTAGCTTTTATCAAGTGGTGATTTTATGCAATGGCATCAAGCCACAGTTCTTCACCAGTGCCTCAGTCAAACAGCAGTGATGCTTTCTTTAAAAAAGAAACAGACACCACGAAACGCTTTCACCCTGTGCAGTCACTGCCTGATGTGTGTCCCAAGGAACCTACAGGTAAGGTTGGTGTGCAAGGAGAGTGGGAATGCAGTTATATTTGCTAAGTTGTTTGCAACTGTTCAGTCAACATTTCTCATGCTCCTGGTGTAGTGTACTAAGCCATAGTCTTATTTCCAAGTGTGCTGTAATTCTGCTTTATACCACCCAGTGTCCCTTTGGAGCAATAGGAGAGCCTTCCTATTTGCAGCTTGTTTTAAGATGTCCCAATTACAGATGGGATTTTGCTTGTGTGATTCCACATCACAGCTATGATTCATAGTCCATGGAAGAAGAGGGTATGTTCTGTCAGAGCCTGTAGCAGACATATCCAGTGTGCTGGGAGTCTGGCTGCATTACTTCTGTGAAACATCCCAGCCCTGCTGCAGTAGAAAGCAAGAGACAAGGGCCTCTCTCTAGCACTGTTAAAACCAGGTTTTGGTCACAGTTCCAACTACTGTGGTGCACTGAAGCTTGGTTTATAAAAAGGGGTATGTGGGGTGGGATCTGAAGAATTATGAGATATAATACTAGTGAATTGCACATGTCATTCTGCTGATGTTCAGATTATTAGAAATATGTTGTGGTTGGAATATTTTTTTCTCTTCTGTAGAAGCTAATGGTGTTGAGCTAAATATATTTAATGAGTATCAATACACCACTACTGTGTTCAAAACTTGTGTTGTTTACTCTGATAGAAGAAATGCAAGTTGAAGTGTTGCAGAAGGAGTCTATCATCTGTCTTTTGCATAGATAACTCTAATCCAGCATGTAATTGGGAAAACACGGTTTGCTTGAGAATCCCATTTTGGCAAAAACTACAGCTTTGTTTCTCACCTTAACAAACTGTTTTGTCTTTTGTGCTGCAGGAGATCCCAATAATTTATGTGACAGTCCCTCTCTAGTTGTGGATCAGCACAGATGGACTATTTATCATTCCAAAGTCAATCTCCCAGCAGCACTAAATGATCCTAGGTTAGCAAAAAGGGAATCTGATTTCTTTACAAAAACATGGGGAGTGGACTTTGTGGACACTGAAGTCACGCCTTCATTCTACCTCCCACAGATCACCAAGGAACATTTTGCATTATACCAACAGGAAATCGCTCCGGTAAGAACAGCCAGTTGGATGCATATAGTCCCAGGGACCAGAAAGATCTTTTCCTCCTAATTACATTGTCCCTGCTTGTAGTCCATCATACAGCTGGCTGATAATTACTTTGATTTTCAGTGTTTGTTGACTCTTCATTAGATGTTTCTTTGTTTATAATCTCAGCACCAGTAGTGTGGAGAATGCTGTCTGAATTGTCCTGAGACAATTTTGTATTTTTGTCAAAATTTCTCTTGCTGAATACTGGCTCTGCACCATGGCTTACAGTTCATATTTATTCTTTTTGATTATTAACCCTTTTTTCTGTAAGGTTTGTTTAATGGTCGGCCTCTACAGAGCAGCATAGCATTCTCATATCTTTGGATCGAATGACTATGTGCTGCAAGGGTTGAAGATATTTTTTTAAGAGTCTTCAACCTATACATTTAAACATTTATACTTGAAGTTTTTAAACTATAAATAGGCCTATTATCTTGATGATTTCTTTTGTAACAGGAAAGTTTAAGCTACATATAAGGACACCAGGACCAGTAGGAGACTTCTACAAACTCTTAAAATACAGGTGTCAGTAAGTATGTAGTATTCTTTTTCTACTTTTTTTAACTGAAAGAACATGTAGAAGTCTCCCACTGTTTTCTGCTTCCTTGGTTTGTAACTTTTAAATTTTTTTGGCTGGTTCAGAATTAGCTGCAGGAAGTGTTACTTGTGTAATCACAGTTAAAGAATGTGGCAGTGAATTGTCTGTAACCGAACGCTTGCCATTAACTCACATATTCAATGTTTAAGATTTCATCCTTTAAAATTAGCATGTCATGCAGTGACTGCCAAATGAAAGAAGATTTTGGAAACAGGGAACTGACCTGTGATGTAGCTTCTAGCAGAAATCTAGTTAGCATTGGTGTTCTTTAGAAACATAATTTCTCCCCACCGTGGTCTCTGGTGGTGTTTAGAATTTGAAGCTCAGCATGACAAAACAAGATATGTGGTTTCAGCAAGATACTTATTAGTAAGATGTGGAAGCAATTTCTACTTTCATCCAATTTAATTTAGCAGTGATAAAGCATTCATTGTGTGTTAGTGTGATTTCTGGATTAGACAGCAAATATATGTTTGTATATGTAATTACAACTGATCTATGGTCATGTATCATCATGTAGAGAAGTTATTGCACCTTTACAGTAACTTTTATGTTCATTTTCTCTTGAGATATAAAGATATGGGAAATAAACATTCTGACTATAGGTTGAAATTTTTGGTACCTTTCATCTGGACAAACTTCATCTGAGCTTATAAGGGAAAAAATACAATTGTGAACTTGTTGAAATTATTTGGCACAATGCAGCTCTGTTTCACTGAATGTTCTGTTTCAAAGAAAAGAATTCTGTTTTTTAAGCCTGAGAATAATTCTTTAATGTATCTTCTCTTTTACAGAGAGAGAAGGTTCATGAAAGATGCAAGAATATTTGTGCTCCTAAAGATACCTTCGACAGGACTCTATTACACACCCATGGTACAGTCAAAGCCTTTCTTTAGTCATTAAAAAAATAATGTGTTTTTGTATCAGCATGTTACATACTCATCATCTTTGTTACTTGCTCCAGGGCTTCATGTGCAATAGTAGCTGATGATGATTTCTTTGTAACAGTAGTTGAAAACCCTGACATGGTTGACTAGAAGTATTTACGATCTCTGCTGCTATTTTGTATATCAGAATGCTTGTGATACCTGTTTTAAACTTTTTCTTGACATGTTTGCATTCATGGCAGGTCACTGTGTCCCTGGCAGTGTTTTCTTTAACTGCTTTTTATTTTAAGAGCCATTGAAACAGTTGCATCAAATTTGTAGCAGCTGTTGACTTTGCAATGAAGAACAGCAGTGCTGAGGCTATATCAATGTCTATAGGTAATGCAGCAAGAAACATGCAGTAGTTTACTCCTTTTGATCAAGTTCTTTCAATTGACTTCCTTCTGTGCAAAAGGAAGCCCATCTGTAGGGTTTCTCCATATTGGTGTTACTTTGGAATAACTGTTCCTGAATGAATGAGTCTGTGTGCATACTGCAAAATAAAAGTTCCTTCTTCAGTCTTAGCTTAATCCGTATTGAAGAAGTCCAAGTTATTTGTTTTTAAAAAGAGAAAATTGCTGTGCCCCAAAGTAACTGGGAGCTGCTCGGGTAGCTGGACAGTTCCTAGTAGAAGCATCATTTGGTAAACTGGAACTCATTTTCTATAATTTCTGCTGTTAGCATTTCCTGTCGTATTTTAACTCCTGCCCACAAGACTTGGCCTTTCACTTCCATAAGAGTTGGTGTGTCCAAAGACTGAGAACAGTGAGATGATTCCTAGGTTGCCTTTTTTATTTCAATACAAGTAAAGTAAGAAACAAATCAAGTCAAAACCAAATAGGTGAGAGCAATGTGGGAAATGATGCTGAGGTAGCATTTACCATGTTTGCCAGGGATGAACAGACCATCCAGCAGAGATAGGGGCTTGTTGCTTTTAAATTCCTCAACTGTTTTGGCCTCCAGTGTGTCCTTTTCATAATGCACACTAAGGTAATGAGTAAGGGAAGAAAATGGGGATTTCAGCTCAATCTCAAAAGTCTTAATTTGCCTTCTAACTCTCCCAGGGTACAATGATGCAGCTCTTTGCCCAGCTCAACTCTCACCCTCTGCAATTGTCAGGTCAGCTTACTTCATGGCAAGTACTGCTGCTGTGCTGCTTGAGCAATGTGCTCAGGACTCTGTCCTGAGCCCTTGTTTGTACTTCTCTCCAGTCTTCATGCATCCAGTCTCCAAGTGCTGTGCAGAAGTGATTATATGTGCAGCTTCAGTCTGGAGCATTTAAACTGGGGTGATGTAAGCAGGACCTTTTGCTGGCCCTTACCAGTGCTAAGTGGATTGCTTTGTATGACTGACGTTGTCACTGTCAAAACAGCCAAGTGCCACCACCTTTGAGCACTCTGAGCATGAGACCTGAACTGCAGAGGACAACAGAGCATTTCAAAGAATCAGAGGTATTTCAGGTTGTAAGGCCATTACTGCAACTCAGAAGCCAGTTCAGCTGTGAGGTCAGGCCAAGCCTTTCAAAGCTTTAGCCAGAAAATCTCCAGTGATGCGTTGTCACTGTCAAAACAGCCAAGTGCCACCACCTTTGAGCACTCTGAGCATGAGACCTGAACTGCAGAGGACAACAGAGCATTTCAAAGAATCAGAGGTATTTCAGGTTGTAAGGCCATTACTGCAACTCAGAAGCCAGTTCAGCTGTGAGGTCAGGCCAAGCCTTTCAAAGCTTTAGCCAGAAAATCTCCAGTGATGGGTCTTATACAGTGTGGCCAGGAGAACTAGGGAGGTGATTCTGCCCCTGTTCTTGGCACTGGTGAGGCCACACCTCAAGTACTGTGTCCAGTTCTGGGCCCCTCAGTTCAAGAAGGACATTGAGGTGCTGGAGTGTGTCCAGAGAAGGGCAACAGAGCTGGTAAAGGGTCTGGAACAGAAGTCCTATGAGGAGAGGCTGAGGGAGCTGGGAGTGGTTAACCTGGAGGAGACTCAGGGGGAACTTATCACTGTCTACAACTTCCTGAAAGGAGGTTGTAGCCAGGTGGGGGTTGGTCTCTTCTCCCAGGTAACAAGCAACAGGATGAGACAACATAGCCTCAAGCTGCACCACGGGTGGTTCAGATTGGACACTAGGAAGAATTTCTTTACAGAAAGGGTGATTTGACACTGCAATGGACTGATCAGGGAGGTGTTGGAGTCATCATCCCTGGAGGTGTTTAAGGAGAGACTTGATGTGGCACTTGGTGCCATGGTCGAGTTGACATGATAGTGTTAGGTCATTGGTTGGACTCAGTGATCGCAGAGGTCCTTCCCAATCTTAATGTGTCTGTGATTCTGTGATTCATTTCCCTTTATAACCCCGTTTGCCCTCTGTGAGGAACAAGGCATCATTGTCTTGGAAACTTCCTCGTAGGATTCAGTTGTTCAAGGGAATTATTTCCATTGTTTGCTTATGAATGACGACTTGTATTTTGTTTAATTTTAGATAAATCCAGGACAGATCTGGAACAAGTACCTAAGGTATGGCTTCTGTGCACTCCAAGCTTTCGTAAGGTTTTCTCACATGTAGGCATGTACTGTCTTCCTTGTAGAAGTTTTGTCCTAGCTGATTACTTAGATTGATTCTCAAGAGGATCTCCAGTGCTCAGAACTAAAAAAGACTAAGAATTGTTTGCCTTTTCTCTTTTTTTTTCTTGTTGTTTTCTGTGGTCTTGATTTTTCTCTTAAAGTAGACTGTAAATACCATTATTTTTTAATCTTTCAATAAATGAAGTTAAACCTAAGATCTGGGAAAAATTAGCCGCTTTAGGAGGAAAGGGAAAATGAAGAGTTTGATAGAGGCTTGAATTCTACATAATGTACAACTTAGCATAATGTTTAACTCCTTGAACCCTTGATCAAAGCTCTCTTGCATATATGCATACAGGATATGTGATGTGGTGGTTTTGTCAGGTTGACAAAAACCACAAATCCAGATTCCATTTCAGTGTGAATAATTTTTTCTAGGTATATTAAGAAGTCAGTGTTAATATAGGACATCATCTCTGTGCCACTCCCGTAAGCTGTGACTTGAGTAGCTGTCACTAAAATGTTTATAGAGTCCAGGAAACATGAATGTTTGAGTGTGGGGTGATGCTATAGTCTATGCTGAACCTTTTAAAATTGTGCTTAATGAATAGAGGGAAAAGGATTCTACTGTCTGCCTGTAACTCAAGGTTTGTACCAGTTTTGTCAAGTGTAAATAATGTTATTGGAGAGAATTTTAGATTAATAGTTCTTCAAGATATGTAGTTAATATTACATGTTACTGACTCTTCCTGACTCTGCCAAGTGTGTTGGCTGGACTGTGCTAAAGCAGATCAACTTGAGGCTCTGCTCTCTCTCAGGCTACACTTGCTGCACCCTGACAGGTGACTGGATCCTCAGTCTGGTAGAAGCTGTGGCTCCAGAACTGAGCAGATCAGCAACAAGGTGCCCTTGTTAGTGCAGAAGGTTTGCTCAGATTCCTTAGGGGACCCACCTGCACTTTAATGTGGCCTCTGTTTGCACACTTGGGATGTTGAGATCGTCTGGGGTGATAACCCATGTAATTTTTGGAGCTGTGGCTTCCAATTTTAGGAGATAAGACTTTGTCAGATCACGCAGGATTTTAAAGTTAAAAGTAAATTGTTTGAAATTAATTTGTTTGCCTGGATAAATGAAAATTCGGATTTCAAAATCAACAAATAAGGTGTCTGTTAGCTTAATGAGACAGGAGGTGTGTTTAATTGGGGCAAAAAAATGCAGGGGTGAGCGAGGCACATTTATTTCTTCTGTTTTTCTATTTCAGATTTTTATGAAACCAGATTTTGCCTTGGAAGATTCATTAACATTTAATGCCGTTTTACCATGGTCTCATTTTAGTACTGCTGGTGGCAAAGGAAATCGTGACACAGCTTCCTCCAGGTTACTTCAAGAAAAGGTACAACTTCGATACAAGATGTTGTTACCCCTTGCAGCTGTTAGTTACTACAGAGAAACTCTGCTGCTGCTGTTGAATATTGTTTGTTGGAACATCAGTGTCCTTGGCTCTGTTAACTCTCATTTTACATCAGGCTGAAGGCTGTTAGTAAACCATGCAGGAAGCATCTTACTGAAAGAGAACTTTTTTCCTTGATTGATAAATCTCTCAAATCTGGAAAAAAGAATCCATGTATGATGTAATAAGTGGCTCTTCATGATGGCTAAAACCTAGAGAAGCAGGTATATCTTGGAGAACTTCAGAGATGTGGAGTAATTTCTTAGGGAGGAAGAGCAATTACACAAGAAAGCTAGAGGTTGTACACTGTGTAAGTCTATTGTTTACTCACATGTCAGGAAAATTCCAGATTCAAGGCATTGTGATTTCTATGCTAAAAGTAATACTAAATCCTGTGGGGTTTGTGTGTTAGTAGGTTCCTCTTTTTTTATGCCATGTGCACTGATCCATTTTTTCATTTCAAAAAGGAGAGCATGAAAGCAATGCTGTTTCTTTCATACTGGAAACAGAAGCCTTGGGTGGTTTTTTTTTTAGTTTGCTTTTCTGTTAATTAAGTAGTCATACTGTAGAAAATCCCATAATAAATTATCTTTATGGTACAATTACCCATAAAATGCTTATAGAAATCTATGTAATTTTGGAGTCAGTTTTCTGACTTTAATTTTCCCTCCTGTTTAATCTACTAAAGATTTTGGGACCTAGGGGGAAAAAAAAAAGGTAGTGAAGTAGATTAAGGAAAAATAATGAAGTCCTCTGGAAAGCATTTCCAAATTTATGTGAGTTAGTCTTCCTGCTCTCCTGCCAGGTCAGGAGGAACATACAGGCTCTTCAAGGGGCTAGCTCAATTGTTTATTGGGTTGTCCTCCACACCTAAAGTTAGAGGAATACTCCTTTGGAGTTTTTTGTGACAGTTGCTGTCTGAAGATGACAAAACAGTGTCTGGCATATACTTTAAACTCCCAAAGTGTACCTGGCAGCAGCAGGATGGACACTCAAGAAGGACTTAGACTGAAGGAGACCCAGAGCCCTCTCGGGTGCAGAGGAGTGAAAATAAAGCTTTGAATAGCCATGAGCCACACTGCTTTGGAGAGGTGATACCAAAACCTAAATAGTATAAACCAGTTCTGTTGACTCCAAAGCCATATGCCTGGCAAAAAAATTATACTGCTTTATATGACTAAAATGAGCCACATTTATTTTGCTTTACCTTTTCAAGGCTCTGAACTGCATGATGTTTACACTTACCACATGTAAACATGCACCCTGCTGCCATAATTATCATGAGTTCTGGGCACCATTTTTCAACAGGATTTTGAAAATCCTGCCTTAAGCACACTTAAGCTATTAGTGCTTGTGGATTGCTGCTGATCAACTTGAACAATTTCCCCCTGATGTTCTTCTGTTTCTTACCTCCTTCCATGTCTTGCCCTACATTGGGACTGTAAGCTCTTTGAGGCAGGTACTATAATTTTGTTGTGTTTGTTCTACCTTGTTTAGTTAGCATAGTGAAAGGACCTTGGGGCATCTGGTTAGTACAATCACAAAAATAACTGTTTGTAATAGCCCTTTCTCTGATCCCTATGTCACAGTCTGTCTTGACTTTTCCTGTGGCTGGGTGTGTCACAGCTGCTTGATGGAGGATGCTTTTGGTTAAACATAGGAAGAAAAATAAGATGGGTTTGTGTATTGTATAAATCCCTCCAGTATCTGTAGAAAATAGGTGCAGGATGAAACTAAGTCTTAGAGGGAAACATTCTCCAGCTGATTTCCTTTCCATCTCTGGATGGGCCTTTTGAAATTCAGCATGGCACCTCTTGAAAACCAGGTCATTTGAGTATTAGCATTCAGATGAGCATCCTAATGCCTCAGCCAAAACACAGAGCTTTTACAGGTCAAATAATGAGGCCAACCCAGTGATCTGGTAAAAGTTCCACCTAGAGTTTGGATTTCAGGTCTTGAACGTGCTGGGTGTACTCTGACTCTTGGGAATCTCACAGTGCCAGTGCACAGGAAATATGCAGTACTAACTCCAGCTGGTTAGCAAAAAAACAACTGCAGCCAGAGGAATCTTGAAGACTTTTCTACAAAGAAGATACCACAACTTTTTTAAATAAACAGAGCCATTCTAGTGCCATGTAATCAAGTACAGTTGTCTGTACCTTTAGTAGCATCAGTGACCCAAAGTACTTAGTGTATTTGCATGTGTATACTGTTCTTGCTTGCAAACAAGTGTCCAAAGCTGTCTCCTGGTTATTGTCCATATTCTAATAGTGGCAGTGTGCAACCACATGGTACAAAAGTCTGGAGTAATTTTCTTTTCTAACTTGTACTTTTCAAGCAGGAGAGGCATTAAACCAGCCTTCCCAAAGTTATTTCGAGTTCATTCTAAAAGAAATTATCAAACCACAGTGGGTAGTTATTTGCTTGCTATTCTGACAAGGGGATTTAATTTTTATTAGCAAAATTTCCTCATGATACAATAAGACAAATACCCTGAAAGTGTATTGGCATGGTGATAAAGCTTCCAAGTCATAACAATAATGTTTCTCCTTTCCCCCCCCTCTTTCTAGCTGAGCCATTATCTGGACATTGTGGAAGTTAATATTGCTCATCAGATTTCTCTGCGCTCAGAAGCATTTTTCCATGCAATGACCTCTCAGCATGAGTTGCAGGACTACCTCAGGAAAACCTCCCAGGCTGTAAAATTGCTTAGAGAGAAAATCTCTAAAATTGATCAAGTGGTGTGTGAAGGATCGCTTCGAGTTTTAAGACTGTCCCTCACCAGAAATAACTGTATAAAAGCATACAATAAATTGAAGTTAATGGCTACTGTGCACCAAACACAGCCCACAGTACAGTTGCTGCTATCCACTTCTGAGTTTGTTGGAGCTTTGGACTTAATAGCAACTACACAGGAGGTGTTACAGCAAGAGCTTCAAGGTATTCACAGTTTCCGGTAGGTAACCATCTAGGAAATTAACAAAATGCAAGTAGAGCTGGAACATATTGAGCACGTTGTGTTTGCTGAAGGGGTTTGTGCTACCTTTGTTCATTCATTCCTAGAGAACATAGTACAAAAGGTATAAAATACGTGTGGCATAAGCAGTGTCACTAATGGCTGTGCCAGAGATTTTTTTTTCCTTTAGAGGGGAATGAACTTTTAACATCTTGATGCTTTGTACTCCATTCTTGTTTACAGATGGTTTAGGGGTACAGAGAGGAGAGCTAAGCTGTGCCTGGACTTTTCATCTTGCACAGTTTGTAGCCTATGGTCGAGAGGTGGTTTCCACTTAGGGGTCTGCAGTCCTCATGCATTCAGCACCCCAGAGGTGGGGGCCTTGCTACACAGCTCCACTCCATGCCTCTTGTCATTAGTGAGTGACCTGGGGTTATGGTGTTAAAGGAATATGTGCAGACCATGTGTCAGATAGGTTGGCCCCCACCCTGTGCTTGTGCTGAAAGAAGCTTTGCATGCAAGGACAGTGCAGAGCTATTACCATGGATCAAAAATGAGTTTGACAGCCATGTCTGGCTCTTGTGGACAGGAGTGCTTCCTCTTGCTCCATTTGACTGAGAAATCCAGTTCTGTGAGCTGCTGAAGTTGCTAAGGAAGAAAGAGTGGGGAGGTGGTGCCCAAGCTGCTGTTCCTGCTGCTTTTTCCACTGTGTTTGCTACAGTCATGGGAATTAGTGAGTCCAAGGTCCTGTGATGTTACTCCTTCTGTTAATAGTGGATGCTTAGAGCTCCACTGAGAGACATCTCTGCACTGGGCAAGGTCCTCAGTAGAATTATTTTAACCGATGTAAAAAAAGTTATAACTGTCATGGGCAGTTCAAAAGTCTTGTATGGAAAGCCACCACTATGGTACGATGCTAGCAGAAGTAGTGTGTGGTTAAGTCAGCTCTGGGGCTTGCATCAGCCAGTTGAGAAGCAATATCCTTGGTTTTCTGAGTTCATGCTGAGTGAGGGGGGGGTGGTTTGTGTAGAGGTTACATGGTTCCTGCAGCTTGGTGGTCATCAGCTTGCATAATAAAAGCATGGATGCCGCTCAGTCAGAACTTTTTGGTTACTGCTCATGTCCATCTGTTCTGTTGAGCTCCTCTTCTAACACCCTTTCTAGCTGGTTTGGAAAAATACATAAATTTTAGGTAGGAAAGGTCTCAGAAAAGGTATTAAAAATGCAAAGTATTTCAAAGTGCTAATAAACTATTGGGATGAAAGTTGCTTGAAGCTGTTAGTGTTTTTGTAAAAAAACCTTAGAAACAGGCCATCTAAAAAGCATAGGTGGTCCCTCTCCAGGCACCTCAATGCAGTTTCTGTCCTCTTCATTGTTCCTCCTTTTAAGCACTTGGTTATGGTGCACAGCCCTTGACTGAGTCACATTTGTATTGACCTTGATAGTCAGTGTACTTCTACAACCCTGTGGTAACATTGATCAGAATTAGCTGTGTTTTCAGTCAAGTAACCTGTGTGCTATGTCAGCAGAGGGAGTGCAGTTCTGTTGTCATTGTGGTTGATATACATCATGTCCCAAGAATGTGCCATTATTTTAAAATTACCCTCAGATGTGGAACATGTTTGCAGGTAGATATTAATTTCTAAGGTAAAGCTTAGTTGTTTTTTTTAGTAGAGTTACAAATAGTGATGTGAGTGGGAAATGTCCTCTCTGCTTTAGATATTAAAGGCTCAGAAAGGTGTGGTAAAGGCAACCTAAGTCATCTACCCCACGAAGATGCAAGTGCAGTTGATGAGCCCAGCGTCGTTCCCAAATCCCACAGTGGCCTGGGTATATAGCTTGTCTGGAGAAGTAATATGCAATGGAAGGATGGAGATCTTGATAAAACTTCTTAGTAAAATGTTGTGCTTCTAAAATTAAATAAAATTTTAAAAGATTGCCATCAATTTCAAACACACATGCTTCAACTTTCCCCAAGAAATAGCAAAGCAATGTCCTTGCTTTGTTCTGAGCAAGAATGCTGCACTTAAGTGAGTTATAAACCCAGTTTATTTTAAGAAGATTAAGTTCCAAATCAGTATCTCATTTTTCTAAATAATTAGTATCTTTTTTTTTTCCTAAATAGCTTGAATCTGATTTAAAACCAACAACTTGTTGCTTTGGTGTTGTCATGGCAGCTTGTAGAATTTGCTTTTAAACAGACACTTTAAATTGAGTCATATCAGAGTCGTTCAGTGCAAAGCAGTAAGAAAACGACTCAGATCATATACAAAGATTTTTGTCTTGTCATACTATATGCAGAGAAAAATGTAGTTTGTTTTTAGTTGTAGCAAAAACGTGAAAGAACCATTAAGATGAAGTAATAAATTGGTGTATAAATAATATATGTGTGTATGTATTATATAAATAATATATTAATGTATACTAAATCTAGGTTAATATCCCTAATGATATATGTATCAGTTGTAAGTGCTTGCTACTACTGTAGGATAGAATTAAAGTTTGAGAGCTTTAACCTTTTCAAGTTCATCTTTTAAATTTTTCTTAAAAACATACATAATATGTTAACTAATTTACAAATCTGTCCTGCCACTTTCTGCATTGTTTTTACAGTCCTTGTTGGGGTGATGGAGATACAGTGACTTTGGGGTTTTTTGCACTGGTATGCTAGCAAACTGCACTTTGGCATGTTTTTATAGAGTAAAACACAAATACTTGGAGAAATAGTTCTCATTGGTGTATTTTAAAAGAAGTTTTATGCTGCACTCATTATTTTATGTCATAGAACTGTCATATTCAGTATTCATTGAAGGGATCTGATGTATGACTGGTACCTGGGATTAGAGATAATTGCCAAGGGCTTTTGCTGGAGTGTGAATTAAGGTTTGACTTGCTCCTGTGTGTTTCAGGTTGGAGGGATTTTTGTTGGTGTAAGGGACTTGAACATCTTGGGCAAAGTGATGGGAGCAAGTGCTGGTAACTCCTGTATGGATGTTTCCATACCTGGGGTTTGAGAGTGCAGGGTGTGTTGTGTTTCAGTTAAGCTCAGTTACAGCAATAATGTACCAAAGAGCATCGTTCTGCTTCCCTAAGTAAGAGCCTTTGTGTTTTGGGTATTAGTCCTGCAGTAAGTTTTGGAACTCCAGTTATTGCATTGCAAATAATTACCTGTATGAGCTTTTTCTCTTGTGTTCTGAAATGGCCATGATGCAACTGGCTTGGATTTTCTAGAGGCTGTTTTTACTTTAATTAGGTATTTGAAATATGTCAACTTTGTCTATCCCAATGAATTCTTGACCAGCAGTTCCAAAACCAGGCACAGACCTGGTCATCTTCAATTTCTTAAAAAAAGTTTATCTGCTTAACGCAGATCCAGCAAGATTTACTGACTTCAGCTCGGTGCTGGCCCTGTGGGTTTGAGGGGAGGAGTTACCAGCGAGTCATAAGCTGTGTGAGCTAGCACTCATTACACTAGCACTGAATTAAAGCCATGTTCTTCCTCCTAATTTTGTATCCCTGTTTATCTAAAATATCACAGCTCTTGTTAATTCTCATTGGCAAAGTGTCTTTGTTCTTCGTTTGTTAAAGGAAAAGCAGTCTGATTTTTATAGATATTTGTTCCCAGCTGTCAGTGGAAGTTGAACAGCACGGAGTGTTTGACATCTCTAAAACTCCCACTTTTAATTTTACCCTGCTAGAAGTTTCTCTAGCTGCACAACTTTATGGAGTGGGTGACATTTCTGGTGTGAGAAATTCCCTTGTGGTTCGGTAGGACAACAGTCTGCAAAATATGGTTTAAAATATCTAATTCATGGAAAAAATATTGTTCATTTAGAGGAGCATAAAAATAGCAAATTTGAAAACTTCTGTGTTCTCTGAAAGCTATCCTGACAAGTAATGCTGTGTCTCAGTCATGTGAGTTTAATCTGTGATCACATCAAAAGCTCAGATGTTTGAAGTAGAAGAACATGTGGATTAATGAGCTGAAGACCTTGACAAGCAAAAGAAATATTCCTTCGTTTTAACACCTTTATACTGACAAGTACTGAGTATTCTTAGTTCTGGTTCACTTCATTGGGCAAAGAGGTACTCAGCACCTTCCAAAAAAGAAAAAAAAAAAGGCCCTACTTTCAATTTTTACCCTCCATCAATATTCAAGTCCATATGTTTTGTTGCAAGGTGACAGTGCCTCTGAAAAATGCATGGTTTGAGCTGCTCTGAGAAGTGAAAGATTGGAGCCTCCCCATTATGCCAGCATTGATTGCAGAGAAATTACCTGCTGGGTGGTTATTTTCTTCAACTGTGAACTAATGATTTGTTTTCAGGTTAATTATTTAGCTCCTATCTCAATGGCTGTTTCTCTTAGGCATCTTGGCTCACAGCTTTGTGAACTGGAAAAGCTGATAGATAAAATGATGATTGCAGAGTTTTCAACTTACGCTCGCAATGATTTAAATAGACCCCTAGAAGATGATTGCCAAATTCTAGAAGAGGTATGTCTGTTATTGAAATAAACTGTCTGATGAATATGTTTGCATCTTTAACATACTTAATTAGCAACAACTAATTCACTCGGGTCCCTAGTAGCAACACTATAATTTTATGCTGTATCTCTTCTCGTCTAAACCTCCCCCCACCCCTTTATTTTTGTGCTTGATGAAACTAAATAATTCAGATTAACTTAGAACAGCAATCCAGCCCCACTTTATTTTTTGCAAATAATCAGTTCTCGTTTCTCTGATTAAATGTGTGCTGAGTTCACTTCATAAATCTCAGCATGTAAGTGGAAAAGAACATGGACTCTCATACTGACTGGGCTGTAAAATTTCAGGTTTGCAACGAAAGCTGATAGCTGCATGTTGTTCTCATTCTGTCCCCCTGGGCATTTATGGTGTTTATATCAGGCATGTGGCTGCCCTGAATACATTCCTTATTTGCAGTATATGTGTATATATATTCGTTTTTCCTCTGAAGATCATAAACATATGAAGATTAAGCTATTGTGATTGCTTTCTAGCCCAGATTTTTCTGGGTTTTGCCTGTCCTGTTCTTCAGTAATTGCTAGACCCTATGAACTGTTCAGCCTTGTTTCATCCGTGGGTTCCATGAAATAGAGTGATTGGCAATAGCACTGAAATATTCTCATTTCTGCCCTATAGTTTCCTCCCCCCTCTGCACTGCAATGTGCTAACCTCTCACTCAGGCTGGTACTTAGTGTCAGTCTTGCTCGGGGTAAGGAAACTCACTTGTCTTTAGAAATATCCATGTTTTTAAGCCCAAGTGAGTGAGTCCAACTGAGGGACAGGCAAGAAAGGGAGTGGGAGGAAGAGACTCACATGGTATTGCCACAGGTAACACCTTGTAATAGTTTGTATAGGTAAAGCATGACATTAGTCTCGGAGCTGAACTGATCTAAATGCTGTTCTTCATGTGTTTGATCTGTGAATTTTCTTACTGCTGTGCAATTTCTTAAAATTGTTTCTTCACCATGATATTTTTCATATTTTTTTTTATTTTCTTGGTAGGAGAGACTTGTTTCTCTAGTATTTGGACTATTAAAACAACGGAAGCTAAATTTTTATGAAATATATGGAGATGAAATGATTAATACTGCAAAGAACATAATTAAACAGGTAAGCCAAACACTTCTAATGTATCTGACAAGCTTGTCTCAACCATTGAAAAATATTTTTTTGTCATCAAGAACAGCTCTGGTGAAGTTTTTTGGTGGCTGCTGATCTTTCATTTAGAGCAGCTGACCTTGCAGATACTGAAGGTTTCCTGAAGCACACAGAGGTCTGTTTGCAGAAAAGATCTTTGGGAAGGAGTAGGAACCATAAGCACAACAGATCCCAGTTTTCTCTGTATAATTACCATTGTTCTGAACCCCTTGATTTTAACTTATTTGTTTTTCTTAACACATGGTTCTCCTGAATAGTATAGTTGTGTTGTAGCACTGTTTCATTAAACAAAACAATAAAACAAACACCTCAAAACCACACCAAATAGCTTGCCCCCCCCGACTCTCTGAAACCCCCCCCTCCAAAGTTCTTGGTGTAAACACATAAAAGAGAATCAAAGAATTTGCCAGTTGAAACATTTGAATTCCCAGCAAATGCTGTAGAAAACATTGCTTGCCTTAATCTTAACGTGACCTAGCATAGGCACATGTTAAAAGCCTTTTTTGTGAGAGAGCAGGGTGAAGTAATGAAGAAGGTAGAAGTGCTTGCCTTCAAAAAAGAAATCCAAAGCCTTTTCTGCATTGGTGTGGTGGTTTGGCATTTAGGGCAGTGCATCTGTCAAGTCAAAAACCTTTGTAGATAAGATCTGCTAAAACCAACAATTGAACAATGTTCAGATTACTTCTTTGGGGGAAAATGCATGGGCTAGTTTGGATAGTGACATGAAGGCTTTTGTTTGCAGACTGAACTTCGAGTGTGTTTGGTACTTTTAGTTTTACCCTCCTTGTTTGTTTGCATGCCTAGGTGAGAATATTGTGTAAGAGCTGTTTTTCTTCCCTAAAGATAGATGGTTATTTCAGGAGTTTTGCTCTGATGTGCTGTGAGCTATCTAATTTGTATCTCAAGGGCTGGGATATAGGTGCTGGGCTTGTTATCTCCTGTCCTCTCAGTACAGTCTGCTGTTCTCAGCTGTGTTGTGAACCATGTTGGGAACCTGGTTTTTAAAAGTTTGGATTTCTTTTTTTAAAATACTGTTATTTGAAGATTTTTGTTTTAAGCCAGAATTGGCTCTCCCATTCACAGTGCAGCCCCATGGTTCTGTTGGTCTGCTTGTGCAAGGTGGGGATAGACAACATAGGCCCATGCTGCTAGTAAATTAAAAAAAAAAGGCATGAATGAGCAACACTTCATCTGCCTGTCAGACTCCACTGGCTTTTCACTTGCCTGCATCAGCACTCATAAGGAGACCTTTTTCCCCTTTAAATTCCTTGTTTAGTCATATAACAGAAAGGTAGCACACCCTATTTTTCCGCTCATTCTCAGTCATATTGTGTTTTTCCCATTCTCTTGTCTTTATGTTGGATTTATCAGGTGTCGCACAAAGTTTAATCCACTTCCAGTATAAATTTCTATTGAATAAGGAAAATAGGATAAGAGTATTCCTGTGTGGTTTGTGCAGCCCTTTTGTATTGTGGCCTATTGTCTCAACTTTTAGGGATACTTTTCCTTAATAAAGGAAACTGTTTCCTTCCCACAGCTCAAATGTGCTTCCTCTTCAAATGCATTGCTGGGCTGTTTTGGTTAGTGCTTTTTAGGGGCTGTTTATTGCCAGTCAGGTGAAAGAGCAGAGGTTTGTAAGCACTGAACACACTGCATAGTTCAAGAAAAAAGTGTGTTCCTGAATACCACACCTGTTTTTCTACAGTAGATTCTGTACTGACCACCGTTACTCAAAACACAGGTAGAATTGATGTAGCTTGAGATGACAGCCCTCAGTCACCACTGGGATTGTACATCTCTGCTTAAAGGCAAGATGAATTCACACACTACAGACTCACTTGTTTGGTTTATTGATTGGCATTTGGGAGAAAACCCTTTTTCAGTCTGAATAGAGTTGATTTATACCTTGGGCTTAAAAGTATCATGAAAAGACATCAGTGAAGTGGCTGTGAAACAATAGATGTGTTTGGAATATAAATTGGTTGTTCTGGAGACCCAAAGAAACTGACCAATTTTGTGTGTACCAGTTGGTTCTGGGGTTTTCTTCAGGGTTTTTTATTTGTTTGTTTGCTTTAAGAGAAACAAGTTGTTAAATGATACAAATATGTCTTTCTTTTATTATTTTAGTTTTCCTTATTTCACTTGAGGTTTATTGTATATGTTATGAAACTCAGCAGTGGTTAGAAAGAAGCTAAGATCTTTTTTGTTTTGTTTTTTCCCCTTAAAATTTGACAGTGTGTGGTTAATACCGTATCGCAGATAGAAGAAATAGATACAGAAGTGGTTGTTAAGTAAGTATGCAGACAGATTTTTTTTTTTTTTTTTTTTGGTGGTGGGTGGGGATAGGATGTTTTTAGCGTAGATAAATTGCTGTTCTAATTTGTGCTTAAATTTCCCTATTGTTAAGAATTATCATTCTCTTCCATCTTAAGCCTCTGCTTCTGTCTGCCTCTGTGAGGATATTGTATATTCCCCTTCTCATTCAGATTATAATCTTACTTTAATCTTACCTTTAAAATAAATACTAAAATTCTGTGAATCTCACTGCATGAAGCACATGTCTCTTGACTATATCTCCACTTGAAAGCATTCCCTGTTGTCACAATGTGGAACTTTGTACTAAAATGTGTCAGTAGTTTCAGGACCTCCCACATGATCGAGAACAGGAGCTATTCAGAGGGGAGACCAGACAGCTTCAGCCCTAGAAATAGTCTGTTGGGAATCTCATAAAACCTAGCAAAGGCAAACACCATAGCAGAGATGGAGATGGAGCCAGGCTCCTCTCAGAGGTGTGCAGGGGGAGGACAAAGGGCAGTGGGCAAGGATGAAAGATGAGAAATGCCAGTTGAATTTTAGGAAAAATCTGTTCCCTGTAAGGATGACCAAACACTGAACAGGAGCCCAGAGAAGCTGTGGAATCTCTTTTTTGGGATATAGTCAAACCTTGACTGGACAGGGCCCAGAGCAAACCAATATACTTGGCCATGCCTTGAGCAGGGCTTGACCAAGGCAATGCCAGAGGCCCCAGCTCCAGAGGCCTCTGCCAGCTTCTGTTTTTCTATGGCTTTATGATTCACTTGACTCAAAGTGTTACCCCAAGATAATAGGAATAGTCCAGCTGATAAACCAGTGTGAGTGGCAGAACCTGCATGGGATTCACATCCAGATTGGGAAAAGACTGGGCCCAGGGTTATTTTTAAACATTGGACATTTGATCACCATTCTCCAATGCTTGCTATTCTCCTGTTGGGTCCTAACTGTGTATTACAGCTTGTAACTTTTGTTCTGTCAATGGCTTTTCTGCCCTTTGCCACAAACAGCTGACTTGTACTTTAATAGCAGAAGTGGTTTCATTGCAATGCCATGATAACTAATAACACAGCTTTTGCAACACTTGCAAAATATTTTCATTTAATTTTTTTTCCTGCCACATGATTTGTGAAAATGTTACTAACCCCCCTCCCTTGTTGGTAACACATACTTATCCCAGGGGAAAGAACATTATGCCCAGGAAAAATCTAAATGGTAAACACAGAGCTTTCTTTTTTTTAGTACAGTCTGGTTTTATATCCCTCTTCCCCATTCCACTTAGATTGTGTTGCTTGTGATTGTTGTTCAGGTGATGTCTGTTGGTCTACCAGATAAAAGTCTGCAGTTTTCCTTATATTTACAATTCTATTTAAAGCATGGGTTTTTTTCTTTATGTGCCAGCAGGCATCATGGCAAGCAAACAGTTGCTCTTACTGCTCTTTTTTTCAGGCTTGCAGACCAAATGAGGATGATGAATTTTCCTCAGTGGTTTGATTTACTGAAGAATATTTTTTCTAAATTCACCATCTTCCTCAAGAGAATAAAGGTAAGACATTTACCGAGAGCTTCACATGGTTCAGGCATGAAAGGGAATGAAGTGACTTTCCATTTTAAAGTCTAAAGGTGTTGGTTCTGCTTAGAGAGTTCAAACTTCTGATTGAAAGAAGGAGATGTGAATATTGGCATCAGGGCAAAAATGATTAGTGCTAACAAAGAGAGCAGTGGCAAAGAGATAATACCTCTTGTTGCATGATTACATCTATTTCAGGCTGCCAGGGATTAGGACAGAACTTTTGTATGTGTTAGATTGCTCCAAATGAGGTTTCTTTCACTATTCTCAGAAACATCTGATATTGGTTGCCATCAGACGAATGGGTCTGCCTCAGAATGCTAATTGCACAATAGAAAATAAAGCCAGGATTTAGTTTAATTTTGTGGGTAAAAGGAATTACCTTTCTAGCACAAGCTTGTGGCACAGGGTTTTGGGGTTATTTTTGTAATGAAAGTTATATTTCATTCTAGGCAACGTTAAATACTATCCGTAGCGTGGTTTTCTTGGTTCTAGACAAGAACCAAAAAAACAGGGACCTGGAGGACACCTTACAGAAGGACTCTGCTAAAGAGAGCACGGTGGACACTGAAGTGGCTTACCTGACTCACGAAGGCATGTTCATAAGCGACGCGTTCAGCGAAGGCGACCTCCCAACTGGAGCAGCTGACACTACCTCTCAACGGAACACTTCCCCAAACAGTGAGCCCTGCAGCAGTGACTCAGTCTCTGAACCAGAGTGCACTACTGATTCCTCGTCCAGCAAAGAGCAGACATCCTCTTCTGTTACTCCCGGAGGAGTAGAGATGATGTAAGTAAACTTGCTGTCTGTCTTCCCCATGGCAGGAACAAGTTGTGAGGTGCAGGCAGTTGTTTCTGACAATACAGTACAAAAATTACTTTGGAGGAATGTGCTTCCTAGGTAAGGGAAGTGTAGTGGCTCTCCACCGTCGGCCCTAGAGACTGCCATGTTCCCAGCTCACCTTTGTTTCATTTATTTGCTTTGTTTTCACCTCTGTGTGTAGTGGTACAGGGACTGATTTATGTCACTTCTTACAGGAAAGGGCCTTTCTCTATTGTCACTTCTAGGGAAGCCACGTGTGTCGAGAGCATGAGAGATGCGAGTCCAGCCTACACGATTGTATGTCATGCCTGTAGCAGGCAGAAGAATCTCTGTTCCCTGTCTGTATTCCTTATGGCTATTTTTCTGGGTTTTTTAAGCTGGTGTCATGGAATGCACCTTGATAAATTCTAGGAAAAAATCTCCTGTTTGTCATCAACCATTTGACTTGCATAATTAGGTAATCGATCTCAATGCTTTGATTACACAGGCTGTGCTGCCCTGAGGTGCTCCAGACTGTAGAGTTGTAACCTTTTGGCATCCTTTTATGCATCCCTTACTTATGGCTGGTAGTCAGAGCTACCTTTTTTAAAGAACCAGGCATAATGTGTGTGGCAGTTGGGCATGTACCACTTGCAAAGGCAGCATGTCTGGATACAGAGTTCTGTGAAGCAAAATTGAAATACCATTGGTTACCCTGCTAGCAAGGGACCTGCATCCTCTTGCTGCTTGGTACTCAAGTGTCTATACTTGTGTGTTTAAGCAGATGTCAGTTTTGGTAGAGACCTTCCCCCCCAAATCACAGTGCTGGTTGGAGGAGATAGATTTAAAATAAATATGTTGTGCATAAAACACAGGTCTCTGTATGTCCAAACATCCATTGTATGCCGGAAGAGAAGTGAAATGTGAAGAGAAGTC